TTATTTTGCACTTTCTTTGAAAATATTTATTTTTTTATCTGTATATATGCTGCTTTCCCCAGTAGAATATAAGCTTCTTAAGGGTGAAAACTGTTCCATTTTTGTATTTGAGTCCCCAGCACCTAGCACAATGCCTGGTATATAGTAGGTAATTAAGGAATGCTTACTGAACTTAGTCAAATTGAATTATTACATTGTCCTTTCAATATCTGACTTTCTCCTCTGTTAAACTGCAAACTCCCTGATAACAGGGTCAGTGACATAGCTATCCACCTATGCCCAGTACCTAACATAGTATCTCATACATAAGTACCCACGTAATAAAACTAAATGAGAAAATGATACGATAGTGGAGGGCGGGATATGAGTGTTTCTGAACAGTGGGGAGACACTTTTGCTATAACTCATTAACTCGTCCTTGACAGGCAACCAGAATTGGCAAGCTTGGTATGAAAGTTACATAGAGGACTTAAAATTTTAATTTGTACCCAAAAAATCCTTTAAGCCAATACTATTGAGGAAAAAGACCATTCCTGAATTTCCAAAGTACAGACATTTACTAATGGTCTCTAAGCCACATATTGATCAACATGTGTCCATCATAAGTATCTGAGGCTGGATTTGAATTCAGGTCTTCCTAATTCCAGGTCTAGAACTCTACCTACTGTGCCACCTAAGTGCCTCTGATTATAATAACAATAGCTTACATTTAAGATTTTTAAAAAGTAGTTTCAAATTCTTTTATAAAAAAGTTTTATGTATGTACGTGTGTGTGTGTGTGTATTATATATATATATATATATATATATATATATATATATATATATATATATATATATATATGTATGTATAATGTGTTTTCCTCATAACAACTCATGAAGTAAGGCAGATTATGCAAGTATCATCATCCCTATTTTACAATTTACAAATTAGGAAGCAGATGCTCAGAAAGGTTGAGTGACTTGCCCAAAGCCACATAATTAGTAAGTGTCAGAGGCAGGATTTGAACATTAGGTCTGTCCAGACTCTAAGCTCAGAGGTCTTTTATGAAGAATCTTTATAGTCATCTCCACTGCAACAGGAATGTTGAGAGAAGCAATTACAATTAAATGAAAGTACGATGCTTGGACACCCTCTGGTTTTATGCAAATAAAATGTACTGAAAAGCAAAGCACACCAACATCCCTTAATTCATATTAAAAATCTTTCTATTTGCAGGCACTAATTCCATGTTAGATATAACATACTGTATCTGTGCCAAAACAGTGAGTCTATGAATGAATGGCAATGCCTGTAATTGGAGGCAGATCAGCCATGGATCTCATTAAGTACTGGATGTATCAGAACAACCTCATTGTGACAGTTTTTTTAAAAAATCAGCTCCATGAAATAGACCTAGGGTTAAGCATTAAGGTAAAGTAATATTGTCCAAATTTTGAAAAAGAAAATAATATTTTAATAGTATTAATAGCACAGTAATAGTATTTAACAGTATTAATAGTATTTAATTATAGCACAGCAAACCCTCTTTAGATTTGAGAGGAAGAGAGATAGTCAATAGATAGTCAATAGACTACACTAAAGTAAACAGAACTACCAAACTCCCTGTTCTCCCTTCATTCATAGGTTTTATCTTCTCACATTTGGAAGAATTAGATTTAATATTGGAAAGTTATATTCAAATAACTTCCCACCACCAAAGTTTGAGGTCATCTTTTTTTTATAGGAAATTAATTGTATAGGTATAACTTCTACCTTTTTTTCCCAAGATCTTGGTCAATAATGCTGAAGATAGAATATTAATTACTTAGCTATTATTCTATTACCTCTATATGATGAACATCAAATAACAATCATTAAGTATCCTCATGGACTTGAAGCTATGGAGAGAATTATGACAGTAAGGTTAAGTCAAGTATTTGCAATGCTTACAGGAAAGCCAGAACCAGAAAGCATATATTTTTAAATACGGTAATACTTTCAAATTCAACAAGGTTTGTTGAAGTCAGCTAGTCTAAGAGAATATAAAGTTTTAACTATTAACATCTTTAATATAATGGAAGCAAAAATTTTATTTTTTGCTGTTGCTAAATGAAGATATTAGAGGTATGATGCATTGTTACTACTTTTTTTGTTTTTCATTGACTTTATAAAGGAAGCAAATGTAGATAAAATGTGTCTTTTTTTTCCTTCAGAGAACTGAGTATAGACGAAAAAATTTAGACAGAAACATGGAAAGACATTCTGTTTTGTTATGTAGTGTCTAAATATATGATGCAAAAGCTGGTGAGATAATCATTATCATCATCATCATAGCTAGAGTAATAATTTTATGCCTCAGTTTAGATAACACTAGAGATGTGACTGAGGAGTTACTGCAATCTGAAGAACAAGATACCATTGGAAATCTTCACTGAATACAATTTTCAGAAATTATATCTAATAATGAAACATTAATTTCCTACAGACAAGCCACAGAGCTTTAAGCTATCAAAGAGAAAGCTGTGGCAAAGTACATTGAGCTATTGCCATCCTAAAATATAAACTTAGTAGGATATTTAAAGCAATATATAGGCAATACCAGACTTAATGCATACTTTTGGAACTGTAAAATAAACATAACAGATTTTAAAAGTATTCTGATAACCTTACATTAGTACTTCCTCACCCAAATGTAAGAAAAAGACAGAGACATTTTCAGAGCATGCAATAAAGAGGTTGAAACTCTACTGAAGTACTTTTTGAGCAAGAAGAAGTGACTTAAGCAATAGTAAATGCTGATAATAGATACATTCAATTAGATTTATTGAATGTCACTGAAAGTGATTTGACTCTGTAAAGACGCTAAAAACTAGCTAAGAGCCAAGAGTAGAATCAGGTACAAGAACCAAAATAACAACATGTTGACAAAGAAACATCAAACAAATGGCTCAGTTATGTGGATTTGTTTATGGAAACAGAGAGATTTATGATGGGACAATTCAGGACCAAGTCATCAGCAGCAGACATTACACTTGGGGATGTGCATGTAGATCGATGTGGATTATTCAATGAAACAGAAGAAACTTTGTAATACATTCAGACAGACTGCAGTAATTCAGCACCTACTAAGTAACTAGCAGACAGAATCTGGTGGTTGCAAATTACACATCAGAAGCTCACTACGGAGGCAGGTAGGTGGAGCAGTGGATAGAGCACCGGTCCTGGATTCAGGAGGACCTGAGTTCTAATCCGACCTCAGACACATAACACTTACTAGCTGTGTGACCCTGGGCAAGTCACTTAATCCCCACTGCCCAACAACAACAACAAAAGTTCACTATGTTTTATGGACTGATAAATGACAAATACTCATTCCACAATTACAGATTTTGAAATATTTTACAGAACTATATTGAAACGAGAGCATTATCACAGACCATAGTGCTGCCCACAATCACCCAAACATAACATTGATCCATAGAAAAAACTTCAGAACTATCATCTTTAAGAGCTTGCCTCAGTTTCCTCATCTATAAAATGAGCTGGAGAAGGAAATGGCAAACCACTGCAGTGTCTTTTCCAAGAAAACCCCAAATGGGGTCGCAAAGAATCAGACATGACTGAAGCAACTGAACAACAACAGCATACCAAATACTCCCAATCTCTAAGGTGCTTGGGATGCAAAGCTTTCAGATTTCAGAGGCGTAGCAGAACGAATCAAAATAATGTGGGAGTAGGATCAGGTACATATCATCCCAGTCATCCTCTCTGTTACTGGCATTGGATCAAAAATGCTTCCAGTGAGTCTACAAAAGATGAGTTTGCATCCTAATACTCTTTGAAGCAGCTATCTTATACACTTGCACATGAGTCTGCCAAGTATTAAATGCAAAAGAATATTAGGAGGAGATAAACTTATCCTAGGACCACTTCTATGGGAATATCGTCAAACAAGATGAGAATGAGTTTTCTCTAATAATGATAGCTGGGTCACTCATGCGTTAAGGTTTACCAAGCACTTTATATACAACACTGCTTCTGAGCCCCACAATAACCCTAAGAGGTACATGCTACAGATATCATTTCATAGATGGGAAACTAGCCTGGAGGCAGGGGTTAAGTGGTTTGCCCACAGTCTAGCCCACAGCTGCTAAGTGTTAGAAGCAGGTTCTGAATCCAGGCCTTCCTGACTCCAAGTCCAGGACGCTCTGCACCAAAACACACTACCTAACTTTTCTCTTTTTTTCCCCCCCTATACAGGGCAGGATTTCACTGTCTGCTCCTCATGAAATGGTGGAAAACTTTAACTTTTTGAAACACTAGGGAAATCCTGATCTTGAATAGAGACTGCTGCACAAGCATATATAACATCTCCACCAAGAAAGCTTGACACACAAGTGGGCTTGGGGCCCTGTGGGTTCTTTCAGAGATGTTTTCATAAGAGTACAAATTATTACCCTCAAGAATGGTACTCAAGAGCACAAATTACTTTCTTAATTTCATGTCCCGAGGCTTATTTCCTGGAGAGGGCAATTCAATTAAAATAATAGCTCTATCCCCAAATTTGCTCCTTTAATAAACTGAATCAGGGTTTATTTTTTCATATTATGACATATATGAATGAGTTTTCTTTTACATCATTTGATACTTCCATAATTCTGAGCTTTTTACAATGTACTTAAAGGAAATGGGTGATTTCCCCCTCAAGATCTGAAACCAATTATGTATGCCAAAAAGTTTATGGTTATTTGAAATAAGGAATTTACCTGACTCAAAATCAAATAAGAAACTTCAGAGGGTCCTCCCTCATGCTCCCATCTGATTTAAGTAAAGAGTACAATGAATCTGTGAACTTATGGGTGAGGACTGCTCATAAAATCTTAACGTCTCAAGTGCTATTGATTGGTAGTCATGCATTAGTAGCTTCTAGTACATCTTACTCTTCCCTTCTCCCCCTTCCCCATAAATCAATAAATAAAATAAAATAAATAAAAAACATTCCACTGTTCATTTCTTACCAAACTGTCCATATCTATGCTGCAGTTTACAGCCCACTGCAAGGTACTCATGATATTCATGGCTAAAGTTAGAAGAATTCCAACTCGTCCTTCTCCCTCACCTACAGGTTAGAGAGAGAAAAAAAAACTATTTTAGGTAATTCAATCATAAATAAGTATAGCACACATAATAAACAGAAGGAAAATTCTCTTCCACTGAGAGATAGTTTATTTCTATACTATCTATATGACCCAGTATCATCCTGTTATTTTACAGGTTTGATGAAAATAATCATATTATGATAAAATGATTGCTTTAGTTGGCCTCATTTTATGGATGGGACTCTGCTTTCTGTCACCCATACTGAAAATCTGGGAATGATCTTTGATTCATCAATCTTCATACATATCCACTTGCCAGGAAGTCCTGTTTACTCTTAAAAGCTCTTACATGAGAACTTTCCTGATCCAAATCTTGTTTCTGCCTCTACAGCATCTCTCATATCCTTCCCCTTCTCTTTCACACAATGACTATTTTAGTTTAGGTTACCATCATCCTTAGTTTCAACTACTTCAATGACTACCTTACTGGTCATCTTGCTTCATGCTCTACTCAAACCCATCCTCCACACAGCTACCAAAAGTGACACTTTTTGTAAAGTGTAGCTCCGACTCCATTACTCTCCAACTCAGTAAACTTCAGTGCTCCTTAGTATTTTTAGGCACAAATATAAGCTCCTCTATTTGCCATTTAAATACTTTCCCACCCTAGACCCAACCTAATTTTCCATTTAAAAATCAAATGTTATATCATGTAACTTACTCTATGCTACTACCAAATTGACATGAACTTTTTCATATTTGGCACTCCACTTCCCACGTCCATGCCTTTGAAATGGCTGTTCCTCACACCTAGAATATATCACATCTCTTTGAATCTCTAGTTTCCTTTAAGGCTAAGCATATGTGCTGCCTTCTACCTCAAGCCTTTCCTAATTTCCCAACTGTGTTTCTCAGTAGTTGGCACTGAGCCTATCATAGAGTAGGGACATTAATAAATGCTTGTTTGTTGAATGAATGAAAAAATTTTTTTTCAATATATCTTGAATTCATCCTGTCCTCTCCATTCTCATAGCTATCCCCTTAACCTAGACTCTGATCTGAACTACTAGTTCAGTCTGTTTCCTTATAATTTCTAGTCTGTTTCCTTTTCTCCTTCCTTCCTACTCATCCAAATCTGACCCCCCCACACACACACATACACACACACTTCCAATTCATCCTATATTCTTATCAGGGCAATCTTCCTACAATAATAATTTCATCATGTCACATTTTTATTTATTAATTTATTATGAATTTCCATAGCCTCTCAGAGGAGGTCCAAACTCCTCTGCCTAGCTTTCAAAGACATTTTATAATTTTACCTAATTCTAGCTTCTTGGGTCTTTTCTTTACTATTCATTCACCATAATCATTGCTACATTCACACTTTTGCTGATATCCTTACTGAAAAGGCCTTCCTTCCTTTTCTAGGTCTAAGACCCACTAATCCTTCAAGATTCATGCCAAATCTCTACTGTTCTCTAAGCCTTCTGTGACAATGTCAGCTCATTTCTATCTTTCCTCCTTGCTTTCCTTTTGCTATATGCAACATTTATTTTGGCTCTTGGTAATAATAACAAATGCAGTGTTTTGTTATCTATCACATATTCTCTAATTGTTCCTTGACTTATCTTTCCAACAGGACTTTATGATCCATAAGGGCACATACCAAATCATATAAATTTTTAGTATTTTTCCTTAGTGTCTAATGCATGGTAGCATCTAGCAAATGTCTATTTTGCTGATTTTTTTGGTCTCTTTCCCCATTTTTTCTTCATAAATATTATTTATTATATTTGATGACTATCTAGAAGGAATGAAGGAGAAGGACACCAGGAGCAATTCTGATGACAGAAAAATAAAGATATTAATAAATTTTTATTGAAAAATAACAAATATTCAATTTAATTGAAACTACATGGCAGGTTTTTTAGAATTTGATGCTACAACAGTGAGACTCTCTATCTCTATATATTTTATATGCACTTACCTCTCTCACTAGAATATAAGCTTATTGTGAGCATGGACTGTTTCAGTCTTTGTACTTGTATCCCCAGTACCTAGCACAATATCTGGCACATAGTAGGAACTTTATTGTTGATTCATTGATTGATTGATGCCTGCCTTTTTCTAGTTCCACATTACTAACTGCTTCCTGGGCATCTCTTCCTCTATGTACTAGAAAACTTGCCAACTCAACATCTCCAAAACAGATTTCATTTCCCCTAAATAAATAGGCATTTCCTACTCTCATGCCTTCATTTATTCTATGCCCTTTGCCTACCACACTGAAAAACCTATCAACTTCTGAAAACCCAATTCAAAGCTTTCTCTTTTTTAATTTCTATAGCCAGATATAATCTCTACCTAATCTGAACCCCCAAAGCCCTTTGTACTACATTTAAAAATTAGTATATTCTACCATATGTAATAATAATTTGGATTTTTGCCATGTCTTCTACTAAACTGTGAACTTCTTAGGAACAGAAAATGGTCATATTCATCTTGGTAATTCTTAAAGTTCATTTCATAGTAAAATATGTTACTGAATAAAAGTATACAACTGATTGAATTTTCCTTCTTAAATAATTAGTTATAATAAGTTATTGCTTTAGTTTCTTCATATTTTTTTCTACATTAGATGATTATCTATCATACATTCACTCAACAGATGCTTATAAGTTACAATTATATAAATATATAAGTGCATTTTTTTAATGTATTAATTATAAATAGTATTCAGGATACTGTGCTCAACCTTAGAAGAAAAGACAAATTCTATGGGGCTGCTTGGCAGTACAATGGATAGAGTATGAGACATGGAATCAGGAAGACATGCGTTCAAAACCAGCTTCAGATACTTCCTAGCTATGTGACCCTGGGCAAGTCACTTAGCTCCACTTGCCCAAGTTTCTTCATCTGTAAAAATGGGGATAATGATAGCACTTACCTCCAAAGTTGTTGTGAGGATCAAATGAGATAATTGTAAAACTCTTAGCACAGTGCCTGGCACGTGGTAATGCTATATAAATATTAGCTATTATTTGTTACTATTTTTAGATATTATTATTATTGCCTTAATACAGCACACAGTCTAGCAAGGGGATAAAACAACTTGGCTAATGTGAACGCTACCCTATCATAAACACGTCAGAGACTTGTAACAATGTGCACTGTGAGGTTTCTGAATTACATTGCTGATATGATATGAAAGAAAAATGTGTCTGCTCAGTGCCTTTTATAGGGTAATAGAAAGGAAAGCCAGTCATTTGGTATTTATATGCATTGTACCTTTCCAGAGGAAAGAACCTTACCATAGCCCCATTATCAATGTGGTGCCTGTTTTTAATTCAACTCTCTATTTGTCTTAAGATAAAACTTACCTAGGGCTCCCAAAATATCCTCTCAAAAACAATAACTTGGAATAAAAAAAAATATGACTCTGAAAAACACATAATTTATATTTAATGGTTTAAAAAATCTTATCTGATGTAATCTACTTCCCAAATATACTTTGTAAGATCATTTTAAAACAAAATTGAAAAAAAGCTAGACAAATGTTTTGGCTCATAAGAAGCATTCTAACTCTTAAAAAATAAAAAAGTTGCCTAAAATTATCCTGTAGCTTACATATCAGCCACATTACTTTTCTTGCATTTCTCAGGAAATTATTCCTACCTTGAGACTGACTTCATTTGACAGTTCATAGAATAGTTGTTTGATTAATCTTATTTTGTTTTGGTCTAGATCTGTGGCTTAATCAGTGTGGGGTAGTCTGAGTGTGGAAATTCCCTTTGCTGATATAGTCATTAAGAGTTACTTTGGGCACTGAAAGGGTCACTTGCCCAGGGCCACCCAGCTAATAATATGTGTCAGAGTCAGGATTTGAACCCAGGCTTGACTTCTTTCCACTAGGTCATGCTGCCTTCTCTTAATGTATTTTATCTTCTGGGAAATAAAATATCACACAACAAAAATTTCTAGATAAATTGGTTTCATGTTTATTATAAAATATTTTTGTTTTTAATCTAAATACCTTTAAAGTACAGGTATTTCTATATAATACAAAATAATGTTTTAGTAAACAAGAAGATATAAAACACCATACAGAATCAGATGCTCGTATTTCAACTGAATTGCATTTTATAATATTTTTTCTTCTTCAAATCATGTAAGTCTTATATTAACATTATTTTATTTGTTTGTGTTGAAAAGTAAACTATTAGACTATCATTTTCAAGAATCTAATTTCTGATATTTTAGTTTAACAGTTTACAGGGCAAAAAATAAAAGCATCTTTTTTTTTTTCCTTAAACACTTTGGAGCCTCTATCTTTGATCGGCTTGAACTTCTTCAGTGAAAAAAAACTTAGCCTTACTGAGCGGCCAGGGAACTGTGTTTTTGTGTAGTAACTAGCACGTAGGTGGCACACAAATAGACAGCTGAGCCTTGAGTCAGGAAGAACTGAGTTCAAATTCAGCTTCAAGCTCTTTCTAGCTATGTGACTCTAGGTAAGTTTCATAACCTCTTTCTGCCTCAGTTTCCTCAAAAATGGGGATAACAATAGCACTTACATCTGAGGGCTGTTGTGAAGCTCAAATATATGATATTTGTAAAGATCTTAACACACTGCCTGACACATAGTAAGCACCATATAAATGCTTATTCCATTCCCTAACTAGAATACTGGATTGGTAATCAAGTAAGTTCTTTTCTAATCACTGATTTGTTATGTGATTTTCAACAAACACTGAATCTCTCTCAGTTTTGTCATCTGTAAACCAAATGAATAATCCAGCTTCCAAGAAGCACTAACTACTACAACAGAAATGTGAAAAATTGATGCTAAATGATATATGAACACAAGAATGCAGCACTTTATAAAAACACAATTCCTTAAGTGTAAAGGTGTCAACGACCATTCAGCCATTTTAGTTACCTGTAGTTAAAATGGAGATGAAGGTCACAACACAGAAGAAGATGACAAAAACAATTTCTATTCTCATTTGGAACCAACGGAGTGTAGACATGTATAGGAACCAGTTTGCTGTGTGTAAATTCAGAGCTTTGTGGAACAAGGTCTCAAAGTACGGTTGGCGTCCAAAAGCTCGTAGAGTCCACAGGCCCTTTAAGCTTGTAACAAGATGAGCAAAAATTGGAGTCCTGGCTGGAAATATTCAAATTAAAAGCAGAGTGCATATTTTAATAAATTATAAAGATTGACATTATGCCATACCAATAAAGGAATAACAAAGGAATAGTAAGTCAGTTAATATCCTTATTTAGATCATGATATAGTCTTCTTCTAACAAGGTGATTCATTATTTTTCTTTAATGCATTTTACTTTTTTTCTTAATTAATTTATTTTTAGTTTTAAATATTCACTTCCATAAGCTTTTGAATTTTAAACTTTCTCCCCCTCCTTCCCCACTTACTTCCCCAAGACAGCGTGCAATATGATATAGGCACAACATATACATTCCTATTATACATATTTTCACATTAGTCATGTTGTAAAGAAGAATTAGAATAAATAGGAGGAACCACAAGAAAGAAGAAACAAAACAAAACAGAAGAGAAAAAATGAACAAATAGTATTCTTCAATCTGCATTCCAACTCCATAGTTCCTTCTCTGGATGTGAATCACATTTTCCATCATGAGACTTTTGGAGATGTCTTAGATCCTTGAACTGCTGAGAAGAGCCAAGTCCATCAAAGTTAGTCATAGCAAATGTGGCTGTTACTGTGTACAATTTCTCCTGGTTCTGCTCGCTTCATTCAGCAACAGTCTTTCCAGGTTTTTCTGAAGTCCGCCTGCTCATCATTTCTTATAGTACAATGGTATTCCATTACATTCATATACCACAACTTGTTCAGCCATTCTTCAATTGATGGGTATCCCCTCAATTTCCAACTCTCTGCCACCACAAAAAGAGCTGCCATTTATATTTTTGTAGGTCTTTATGGGTCTTTTTCCCATTTTATGATCTCTTTGGGACACAGCCCCAGAAGCGCTATTGCTGGGTCAAAGGGTATGCACGTTTTTATAGCTCTTTGGGCATAGTTCCAAATTGCTCTCCAGAATGGTTGATCAGTTCACAGATCCATCAACAAATGCGTTTTACTTTTTAAGAAACCTTTAAGTATAGTAAAATTTCCTCCATCTTTGTTTTCGTGATGTAGCATGTCTCTATTACCTGACGTTGTGTTCACCGATCAAAATTTAACAGTGATTCCAGAACCACAAGATCATCTAAAACAACTTATTTCATGGTTAACAATAAAGGATTTGTCCTGGGAGTTACTGAGGTCTTTAAATAAGTCAGTGACACTCAAGAGAAGATCCTAAGAAATCATGTTGCTCAACACTTTGAAAGGTCTGTCACCTCACTAGTTGGGATACTAGCTTTCTCACCTATGTGCAATTTTCACCTGTCCGGGGAAGTTCTTGTTCATCTGGTCACCGACCTCTGGTTGTGGCACATAGCGCTGGAGATGTCACCGAACTGTTGCTTACAAAATCATTCGTGAAACTCATATGCGTAAACACTAATCAAGCAGCCTCCTGAATTGTTTGGAGGCCCACAAATAAAAGGAGCTGGAAGGTATATGTGTTCGTGGGCGATGAAGTTGAGGGGGGTCCTTTGCTAGAACTCTTTGGGTACCTAGGAAAACCATTTCCAGTGACATTTGTTTTCTGTTCTGTTGTTTGTTTTCACTGATTTAGAGAACTCCAGGTAAGGAAACTCCTACCCGTACAGGTCACTACCCTATCTGCAATTTATAGGCTCACTGAATTGCCTAGATCACTACAAGATTAAACAACTTGCCCAGGGTCACACAGTCAGTGAGGGAAAGAGGCAAGGCTTGAATTAAGTCTTCCTGGCTCTAGAGCCAGCTCTGTGTCTACTAGATTGGGCTACTTCTTGGCACCATTGATGATCATATCATTTTTGTTGCACTTACATTCTTAATTTTTAGAAATTAGTTATCTCACATTGGTAAAGAAACATATTTATAGCCTCAAGATAATGAAAGATAGATAGCATTTATCATACACAAAAACATTCTACTTTTTAAAAATTTTTTTAGAAACCTGGGAAGACTTGTATGAATTTATCAAAAAGCATTCCAAATATGGTATTTTTTCCTATGTGTTCTGCTTTTAAAAGGCTTTTTTTAAAATAAGGAAAAAATAGATCACATGGAGAAAAATAACAGAAAGAAATATGTAAAATAAAAATAAACCCAAATGAAAGCTAAAAATAGCTGTTTGAGATTCATTTACAATAAGAAAATAGTACTCATTGCCATACCTTCAGATTCCAGTTGTTTTAGCTGCTGAGAGGTCTGGAGGAAATATGCCCTTAGCATAATAAAGGTTATTATCACAGGCACAGTTGCCAGGAAGATATATGGTTGTAAGGCTGACACTACAGTGAGAGCTCCAACCACAATCAGTATTAACTGCAGGATTAAAAAAAAAAAGAATACAGCATTGATGAGAATGTTTATTTTTTTCGGAACATTGACACAGCAGAGATTGGTGAATTGTCTCCCAGAGGTTTCATTGTACTAGTCAGCATCCTTTTAACCCATGAAGGTTTCTAATAGGAATAAAGAACTACAATTCTGACACGCTGTATGGTTTGGGAGTGACAGTTCAGAGAATTTCCAAGATATGTGACACTAGCAATCTTTTTGGAGTTTTGTCATCTTAGTGTTGTTAGTAATGAGAACATTGGGCTGGAGGAAAGAACAATGGCCCTGCAGTCAGAAGATCTGAGTTCAAAGCCTCAACCTTCCTGTTGCTAGGTTTTACCACTCACAAGCCATGTATTCATTAGAAGGAGAAATACTGAAGCTGAACCTGAAATACTTTGGCCACATAATGAGAAGACAGGATTCACTGGAAAAGAACTTGATGTGGGGAAACATTGAAGGCAAAAGGACAGCAGAGGATGAAATGGATAGATAGTGTCATGGAAGCAAAGAATATGAGCTTGGACAAACTTTGGGAGACAACAGAGGACAGAAGGGCCTGGTACACTATGGTCCATGGAGTCACAAAGAGTTGGACATGAATGAAGGACTGATCAATGACAAGCCATGTAACTACGAAGAAATCACTGAAATTATCTGAGCCTCAATTTCCCCCATCTGTAAAGTCACTTTATGGCAATTCTTGGACTTCTTACCTCAAAACTTTAACCTTAATTGTTCAGTGCTCTATAGCAGTAGTTAAGCTCACTGCCCACTAGGCTGCCCATTAAAACATAACTGGTAAATGTTTAACAAAACAAATAAAAAAACATTGCAAGAGAGATGATTTTGATTTCAGGTCTTCTAAGTCAATATGCAGCTGCAGGGATCTGTTTTTATTTGACACCACTGGCCAGTGGTACTAAATTTAAATAGAAACAGGCCACTACACTGTACATAAGGACCCCAGCTATCAGCATATTGACTTAGAAAACCATACATGTATATAAAGGAACTGGGACTTAGGAGTGTTGAGGCTACATGTAGACAGCAGGCTAATGTCTGACATCTCCGACATGACACTCTAGAACTATAAGGTCTTAGAAGGTCCTACCTTGAACTGGAAGGAATTTCCTCATCTATTCCCCATCCAATACTAATGAAATTACAAGTCCAGTCTGTGTGTTTGTGTGTATATGTTTGTGTATGATTTCATTTGTACCATTTTTGAAAAGCTTAGGATACCCCCTTGAGAAAACTGGAGAAACTTGAATAGAGTACTAAGAGTGAATGGTTAAGACTATGAAGACTAATTTAAATCTAGCCCAGATAATTATCGATAGTCCCTGATGGTTCTTCCAGCATTAGCTACTAAAACACAAACAAACAAAACAAAATTCAGCTAAAGTATGAAGCAACTTTTGACAAGGAGAATTATAAATTTTGCCCATTGTAGCATTTCTACATTAAACACTGTTCCAGATCATTATCCTCACTATTAGGTTCCATTGGTAACAAGTGTTTTATGCCAGTTGTAACACTGTAAAACCTGACTTTCTGAGGGTTGTGTCACCAGACTATTTTAATAATGTCATCTAAGAATAGTTTTGTGTTTCCACAAAAAAAAATCCAATACTTATTTCTCAGTGTCACTTGCTTTCAGATTCTACTTAACCAGAGTGTCATAAATAACTGTTAATTTGTTACCATGGAAAATTCCCTCCACTAACATAGGTCATATACTATTTATTACTTATAGTCCTACAGAACTGACATTCAGGGAGGTTTAGTGACTTGCCCACAGTTAATAAATGCCAAGGTATTCCTGACTCCAAGTCCAGTACTCTATCCATTACAGCATTAGTCCAATGCTGGGTCAGCCACCTACTTGTTGTGTGACCTTGAGGAAGCTACCACTCATTAAGTCTCAGTTTCAACAGCTATAAAATTAGAAGGTTGGGTTATATCATATTTGAGACATCTTTTAACTAGAAATCTATGATCCTATGGCAAATTGTTTGGTCCCTAATAGTAGAGGGAACATACATAGTAAAAACAGGACTAGATTTAGAGATCTGGGTGTGGATACTTCTGCCACTAACTTTCTGTCTGTCTTTGGGCAAACCAGCACAAGTAATCAATCAGTAATTCAATTCTATTCAATAAATATTTATTAAACATTCAATATGTGCCAAAAACTTTACTAGACCCTATAGAATACAAAGATATAAAAAGATGCCATTTCTGCCCTCAAGGAGCTTGCAATATAATGAGGTGATATGGCATAGACAAACACAAGTATGACCTAGGTAGGTGAAGAAGTAGGATAGGTATGAAGAAGACCTCCCTATTAGATGTCTCTATAAAAACTTTTATAAGAAAATTTCATGATGGGAACCATTTTGGGATGAGAAAATCATGGGAGGATTAATGGAGGAGACTTCATTTGAACTGAAGCTGAAGAGGATTTCAACAGGTGGATGAGAATAGAGTACTTATAGGCATGAGGGTTGACCTATACAACCATGGAGGTGGGAGAATTAGTTTGAGATGAAGAAATATTTAGTAGCTCCTCCCATTTGGCTGGAATACAGAATATATAAAGGGGAGCTGTAAAAATAGACTGGAAAAGCAGATTTAAATTAGACTGTTGAGGGTCTTAAATACCAGGCTAAGGTATTTGTGAGTGTCCTATAGTGATCAGTAACTACTGAGACCTTTTGAGGAATGGAGGAGAAAGTATAGAGAAGGAGGTAGTCCACCAGCGTCAAAGGCTGTAGAAAGTTCAAGGAAGATGAGAATTAAGAAAAGGATGTGGGATTTGACAATTAGGTCTTTGATAAACTTGGAAAGAATAGAAATTAAAAAGAAATTAAAAAGAATGGTAAAATTGGAATATTAGTAAGATGAGTAAAATTAAGAAAGAATATTGTCCTTTTTATACTCATTCAAGACATTGCTATTTTCTCTTATGCCTTCATTTTTTACAATTAAAAGGTTAGAAACTTCTTTTCAGATGTATTCCACATAGTAAAGCTATAAAGTTTTCATCACCTTATTCTATGTCTAGTCATATTTTGAAGATTTCACACAGTTAAATAAGAGTAGAAAGCATTTGCACAAATAATTATCAAAGATCCTTCTTCAACTAAAGCATTTTCAGACTAATCTCATATGCCTGTGTCTACTTGCATCATTAAAGCAGCTCTTGCAAATAAGCAGTGTTGGTATAAGCAAAGGAATATGGGCCTAGGAGTCAGGAAATCTGGTTTATATTTTAACATCTGCCATTATCTCACTGGATGAGCTTGAAAAAGGGACAGTACCTCTCAGGGTCCCAATTTCCTAATTTGTACATTAATCAAAGTAGACTACTGCCCTTCCCGCACTCTGTAGTGGAGTTAAACTGGCCTTCTCTCTGTTCCTCCAATATAGCACACCATCTCTCAACTCCTCGCGTTTGCACTGGCTGTCTCCACACCTAGAATGTTTGCTTTCCTCAAATCCACTTCAAACAACCCTTTGCTTCCTTCAAGACACTAGTCAAGCGCCTCCTCCTAAATCAAGTGGTTTTGGATTCTTCTTCTCCTTCCCCCAAATGCTCATGCCTTCTCTACCTAAGTACCTTGTATTTATTTTGCAAAATTTATGCCATATATACTTATATGCATGCATTGTCTCCTCAATAAAATGCAAACTCCTTGAAAGAAAGAATTGTTTTCTTTCTTGTCTTTACATGCTTAGGACATAATGCAGCATATGTTGTTGCTATTCAGTTGTTTCAGTCATGTCCCACTCTTCAGGTTTTTTGTTTTGTTTTGTTTTTTTGAGGCAATGGGGTTAGGTGACTTGCCCAAGCTCACATAGTTTAATATGAGGTCGGATTTGAACTCAGCTCCTCCTGACTCAAGGACCAGTACTTTATCCACTGCACCTCCTAGCTACCCCCATGTCTGACTCTTTGTAACTCTATTTGGTTTTTTTGTTTTGTTTTGTTTTGTTTTTTGGCAAACTCCTGGAGAGGTTTGCTATTTCCTTTTCCAGCTCATTTTACAGATGAGCAAACTGAGGCAAACAGGGTTACATGACTTGCCCAGGGTCACACTGCTAGTAAGCTTCTGAGGCCAGATTTTACTTCAGGCCCTGGCTCTCTATCCTCTGCACTAACACAGTGTATAACAGGCTCTTAATACATGCTGTTGTCTGTCCTTCATTTTCAAAGAGGACCAATGACATCATGGATGATGTACTGACTTGCACATGAATTAGATTTAAGTGAGGCAGAGTTGCACAAAGTCATCCACCTTACTCTCTGTTCCTGAGTCATCGAAGTCCAGTGGCAAGGCAAAAGTCAGTACAATTGGGGACGGCCCAGGATGCAGAGGATGACTCTGACATCTTTGATGTCTGAACAACCTCTAAGCACATCACATCACCTGCTTTAGCCACCTTCATGACTGTTGGAACAAATTGTTCTCATTCACCCTAGGGAAAGTCTTCATATGCTTGGGGTAGACATCCCCTTAACTGACCAGCAAGTATGAGGCCTGTCAGTTACCCTTAACCTGGTTTAGCCCATCTGCCAAGATGGTTTACTGGGGTGTGACCACTGCATATGCTACAGCTTTTTGGAGCCACGCATAACAGATGGGTGAATCAGGTAGACACCAAAGGATGAGCAGCCCTGGAAAGCACTCAGCAAGTCCTCATACCAGAGGTGCTAGTCCTCTTGAACACCCCATACACCACACATGCTAGCTGATAAACAGACTGATTTATCAAGTAGGTAATCTCTGAAGTCCCTTCTATCTCCAATCACTATGTCCTAAGGGGGCTTCCACTTGTCATACTAGTTCTATGTCCCCAGCAACACAAAAATGTTGAAATTTAGGGTTCCTTAATAAGGGAGCAAAATTTAGGGTTCCCTAATAGCCCTTAGTAATAAGGGAGCAAAATCACTGTCCTATTTTAAACTAAATCAATTA